GACACTATGGGTAAATTAGCTGACAGTGTAAGGAACTTTAAGAAGGTTAGCTATTGAATTTTTAAAAAGAATTTACAGTTTTTTAAAATTAAGTATCTAATGGTTTTATATTTGAAATGTTTAATATTGCTTATTTCCAAGAGCCAGTTGTTCAATTATGATGTCTATTTTGTTTTACTCCGGCATAAATATTTTCAACTGTAAAACTTAACTATTTTAAGATTTTTAAAATTAATTAAATATATAAAGGGGTTAATTTTAAAGAAGGAATCTAAAAACAAAACCTTAAAATTATTAAAATTTGCAAATTAAATAATTTTAAATAATGTTTTTTATTATTTTACAAATTTCCAAACTTATTTTTTTTCTATATGTGAGTTTTTGAACTTTTATCGATTTTAGATTATTTAAATTTTTATTTAAAATATATTATTTTTTGTTTATTTAATTAATCAAAGACGTTTATATGTATTTTCTTAAAATTATATTTAAAATTAAATTGTCTCATTATTTATGAACACCATGTATAATTCTTAATTATATAATTACAAAATAAAACTAATAATATTTTACATACACACATATACATATATACAATATAATTTATTATGTAGGTACTATATTACCTAATCGGGCTCACTGATCCTGATGAGTGTTATATTGAACTAAATAAGGTATACCTATACTTATAAGTAATATCTTTATCAATACAAAAGGATGTGTGTCATTAAGGTTACTTGTATTAATTTAGTAATTATAAATATATATAGACCCCCAAATAGTAATTTTAAACTATTTTTGGATGTCTTGGAAAAAGTTTTTAATGATTTAGGTGTGTCTACAAAAATTGTTGTAACAGGTGATTTTAACGTAAATTTTACCCATTTTAGTAATTCTACTTTTTTATTTAGGTATTATTGTTAGATTTATTTTTGTTCATTGGTTTCAAACAACTATTTTATTTACCTAGTCAAAATTCAAATTGAAAATATTTATGCCGGAGTAAAACAAAATAGACATCATAATTGAACAACTGGCTCTTGGAAATAAGCAATATTAAACATTTCAAATATAAAACCATTAGATACTTAATTTTAAAAAACTGTAAATTCTTTTTAAAAATTCAATAGCTAACCTTCTTAAAGTTCCTTACACTGTCAGCTAATTTACCCATAGTGTCAATACAAGTACCTATAAAAGCTTCGACAAAATTTTATCTACATTGAACAATCATTAGGTATAAATAACCTTATAAATTCTAAAATTTAAATAAAACCACAGTATACTCTATCTAATATTTTACTTGTAGTATTTTTTCTTATCCAGCTTAAAGTATACCTACCTAAAGTTTTGTCAATACAATTACTTATAAAGCTTCAACTGAATTTTATCTTCATCGAAAAATCATTATAACTTTTAAAAATTTCAAAAATCACATGTTATGGGAGTATTAAATATTTTTACATTGCATGTATCTCTAAAAGTTGTTAGTTTCCTTATAATCTAACTTAAAGTAGGGATCCCGAGGTATGCACAAGTTTTGTTGTTAGGAGTATAAAAGCTTTAATTTAATTTGAACCATATTCAACAATTATTTAGTATATCTATATTTATATGACCATATTAACACACTCTTCCAAATATTTATTTTGATCAAAATAGATTTTTCTAACCTTAAAATTTCAAAATTAGATGATATTTTTTGTTATAATATATTAACCTACCTTTGATACAGATATTCTTATTCCATAATAAACAAGCTAAATTTTTTTAATAAATGCCGTTTAGTTAAAACTATTTAATGGATAAAACCAGATATATGTAGACCAAATGCACAAAAATTTTACTTATTTGGCACCATTCACTTTAGAATTTCATTAAATGCAGTATTTATACTCCTAAACTCTTAAACCAACCATTGTTACTGTGCTACTATAAAGATTTATTAACTTTTAACGCTTAAACATAAATGGTAACAGTATAAATATTATTTCTTGCATTGACTATACTTTGACAGATACATAACCTGAAAAGCCTTAAATGACAATTTATCAAAAGACTGCGTTCCGTACTTGGTCACGTGGTGGGACTTTGAAGTGTGGAGCATAGTACATGCTTTTAAATCAGTTCTAACCACAGAACATAAGGTTCTAACGGAAATTACGTACACACTTCATCACTTTCTGTGTAGATGGCGTGGTGACGCGACAAAGTACAACAGGGTCGTATTTGAAATATTTAAACATATTAGGCACTACAACACCCTTCCGTTTTGAAGAGCTGATTTACATGTGCGAATTATCCTGCTACATTTTATTAAAAAATAGTACAAACAAAAAAATAAATTTATAAAACGAAACAAATTAAACTCTAGTAATAATAATCTATCGTCAACCTCGAACGTGATTTTCGGGGTATTGTCTGGGTTAGCATATTTCTTTTGGTATTTTTGTTGATTTTGAATGAGTGTTTGCCTACGGTTTTGCCTTGGTGAGGAAACGTCTTGTTGCCTTTCTCTGATGTATGAGTCAACTTGCCATTCTGATGACTGGTATGTCTCCATCAAAAGCACTCTTTGGATATGAGCCGGCACAGTCATCAGAATGGCAAGTTGACTCATACATCAGAGAAAGGCAACAAGACGTTTCCTCACCAAGGCAAAACCGTAGGCAAACACTAATTCAAAATCAACAAAAATACCAAAAGAAATATGCTAACCCAGACAATACCCCGAAAATCACGTTCGAGGTTGACGATATGGTTATGGTTCGCGAAAACAGGCAAAGCAGAGAGTTGTTCGCTCCAGTTTGGTCAGGCCCACACAGGGTCCACTCAAAGAAAAGCCAGCTTGTTTACGAAATCGCAAGAGACGGAAAGGTCGTACTTATCCACATCGACGATCTACGACCTGCTCCAAAAGGAAATTCAACCCCCGATTTTGACACCGATTCTGACGAACCACCCAGCACATATGACCCATACACAAGTTCCTGTGAGCTCAGCATCGACGATGACGGTCAATCCATTCCACAACCAATTTCAACCGATTTCGACCAATCAACTCCAAGCGACGTTCCACAACAAGGAAATAAACATCACCAAGACAGCGACGCCTCTAGACCAGGTTATACAACAAGAATTTTTGTAAATTCAAAATTCTCTCGTTCAGGTAGAAAAGTTGTACAAAAATCTTGCCCATGTTAATACTGATCTCATTTTGCATTTTATCTTCTAACTTTTGCAATATCATATTGTGATAGATTAGAAGAAAAAAAAAAGAATAAAAAAAAAAAGAAAAAAACATGTTATTGTTTTATTTGTGTGGTTTTTGTTGGGTGAGGTTGATAATTAAAACAATAAACTTATCAAGAATCAAAGCCAAACTCGTACATGCTTTTAAATCAGTTCTAACCACAGAACATAAGGTTCTAACGGAAATTACGTACACACTTCATCACTTTCTGTGTAGATGGCGTGGTGACGCGACAAAGTACAACAGGGTCGTATTTGAAATATTTAGGCACTACAACACCGCTCAAACCAACCTGTGGCGTAAACAATGTGAACAGTATTAAAAAGTATTCTCCAAGCCTCCTCAATAATATACTCCAATTTTATAAAAATCGGTGTACAAATGTGTACTCTGTCGAAGGTAGGCTTTGAGATAAACAAAAATTCAAAAAATTTCGAAAAGAGGAGCAGCTAGGATTTTGGTAAATATCATTTTTAAGTCACCAAAGGGTCCCGAACAAGAAACTGCAATCAGTTTTTGGCGGCATTTTTATGTGACTTAAACTTCGTTCATGCACACGGTGTATAATAAGGCAAATCAATTTGTTTGAGTCTCTGTGACCTCCTCAGACTGTCCCACGAACATATAAAAAAAGCACGTGGTTTAAATAATTTGTACATGATATTTCATATTTCACACCATATTTTAAATATTACTTCTACAAAATTGCTTAAATCTGTTATAAGGATGTTCAGTGGACGTCCAAAATACGCCTAAGGTTAATCCGGACTTTGTCTAGACTTCTATAGAAGTCCCAGACCCGTTCAGCCTGGCTAAGCCTAGAATAACCTAAGTAGGGCGTCCTTAGGATGTCTTATGCTATCTGGGAAACGGTCAATAGAAAAGCTCCTAATTTGTTGTGTTTATTTTTTGTTTTCTTTCAGAAATATATTTGTTTATAAATATTTATTTACTAAGGCACTATGAAATGTTTCTGGGAAAAACAGCATTTTTCAAAAAACAAGGTACGCAATATACACAGTTCCACAGAAACTGTTTTTGCCCTTTAACAATGATTGAAATATTTTGTTTCTTAATAAGTAGCTTTGATTTAAAAACTGCCAAAAATCAAAATTGTATCTGTTGAAAAAATACAGAAAAATTTTATGACAAATATTGTTTTACAAAATAGTGACGAATGTTATTTTTTCGAGAAACCCCTCAATTGTGTTTATGACATATTTACAATATAGAGTGTTTTAGAAAAATTAAAATTCCTGCTGAAAATTATATTCAGGATAACAACTCCAAATTTACTATTACAAATATATGTGACGTTCTTTTTTGATCAACGATCCAAGCGATTAATATTAAGACTTGATAATTTGAAATACACGTTCTTTGAATTCTTGTCCAAACTATCTTAGATTCCAGAAACAAAATGTGCATCAAAGTATTACTTATATATTTTTTTTCGGAATCGTAACATAAAAATACTTTGTAAAATTCAATTATATTTTTGCTTAGGCAGAACACAAACACTTTTTATTTAGCCTAATACAGCTGAATTATTTGTATACAAATAATGGACAAGAATTCTATAGAATGAGACGGCACAGAGGGACATGACTTATTTGTATGTTATACCCCTCCATCACATTTTTTGAATACTATCTCACAAAAATGTTAAGAAGTTGTCAAATTTGTGCCTTAAAAATAAGGATTTACTGTATTTATCTGTATTAAAATTTGTTCTGTATTTTTTTAGAACAAAGAGTTAAAGAGTTTTACCTGGACATAATGGAATCATCGACAGCAAATCCTCAAAAAGTGCCCGCAGGTCTCACTGCATTACAAAAACCTCTTGTTGGAGTGGCTGGTCAACTTCTACGGATCGTGTCACACAATGAAACCGTTTTCTGCATTTACTACCACAAAATTGTATCAGAGGCACTGCCCAAGCCGGTCTAGGTCAGTCACTCGCTACCAATAAATATAAATTTGCTTTTATTTACGTTTAGATCAATTTTGTATCATATGTGTATCAGGGTTTGTGTTAGTTTCTAATGTATGTATAAAATAACTTGGGTATTAGATGTAGCTAGGCTATGTCTATATTCAAGAAAATTATGATTAAATTATATTTTTAACGAATTTTGGTAATTCATTATATTCTTTTTAATAAAAAAATATATTTTTTGTTTTAACTATTGGTAATGAGTCAATACCAATGACAAGGGCCGGACTTTTTGGCACCTAAAAATTAAAAAAGGCACTTAAAACGACAAAAAAGGCAAAATGAGCCCAAAAAGGCAATATGGCTCCATGGCTCCGCCAATACAAACACACATAGATTTAATTTAGGTGGTAACATCAGAGCGCATAGGTCAAAGCAAAGCTTTGCAAAGGTCTGGTTCCAATCGGTGTGTTAATTTATTTTGGTGAGCGGAGATATGGTTTGTGCTATGTTCGGAGCGATGGTCAGCGCTTCGTTATGTTGCGATTTAGCTTAATATTTTGATACATGCATTAAAAAAAAATCCATTTGTTTATTTAAAGAAATGGGTATTACATTTTTAACGGCCTATCAAAATTGGATATAAGCATTTTGCCTAGAATCCGGGCTCTACTAATGATTAAAGGAATATATGCATTAATAAGAATAACAATAAAAATAACAATATTATTTGAACTATAGCTAAAACAAGTTACTTGTTTAAAAAATATATTAAAATTAATATTTACTAAAGTAAGTTTCTGAAATCGGCTTATAAATATCGAGTGGGACATTATGATGAGACGTTTAGAAAAATTTTAATAAAAAATTAATTCCCCTCAAGGTAAAAATAAAATTCCCAGTAAGCTCAAGTTAGCCGGTCCACATACGGACCGAATACATTTGGCCCAATTGGCCGCGTCCTGTCCTGAACACGTATGAGATTCGGCAAGTAGACCGGGCATGTCTGCATGGCCGAATATTTAGTCGGCTATTTATAGTTGGCCGAGTGCCCGCCGCGATCGCCTGGCCATCCTGGCAAGATAGGTACTTCTTTAATACACTCGATAAGCTAGCCATTATTCGTTACTGAGCAGATCTTCACTATAAACGACCCATTACATACAGTGGCACATATCCAACTAAATATTGCAACCCTTCGCTATTTATAGTTAGCTCGCGTGCGTAAGCATCCGTGAGATGTATTGCTTATGCCGCAGCAGGCCGTATTCCGGCCGATTTCGCGGGCCGTAAGCAGGGGCCGGCTGGGGCAAGCCGAACCTATTATGCCGTATTTTAACCGACTTAGGTTAGAAAATTGACAAACGGTACCGGGGTAACGCGGGCCATAATCGGGCCGGCTGGCTGCAAGCCGAACCGCCGGTCAACCGCCTATGCCGAGCGGTGGCCGACTGTTTGCCGAGTGTTTGGTGTTTACTGGGTTATTCAGTCAGGAATCCTTGAACGCAAAAGTTTTTCAACAAAAAGGCTTTACAATTATTGTGGATTATGGTAAACTTACTTTTAACCTGTTCATTGGTTTTTAAATCGACTTCATACGTCCTGCATGCTAATTGAAGGTTCACCCTGTTACAGAGTCCCTGTAGCTTTGAATAAACAACCTCAGGAAGAACCCAGACGAATATCGTTAATGTAATAAATTTACGACGCCATTTTAGGAGTCCGATTATGACTCATTTTTTCTGACAGTTTGTGTTTGTTTATTTACCAGTTTGAGCGTTTTTGGTTTGTTTAATAGCGTTTTTTTGTTGTTTAATAGCGCTTATGGTTTGTTCTATGCGTTTTTGTTGTTTAATAATTAAATTTTGCAAAGAATGAAACGTTATAGCTGGCGGAAACGATAGCTTGCCTTTTGTGGCGACTAATTGGTTAGCCCCCTGTGCGGTCAGATATTTTTTATCATTTACTCCTTCCTCTGGTTTTTTATTCAAAGCCCTGTAGCATTAAGTTTTCTGACCTAGGTCCTGTGAATTTAAAACGAAATAAACGTAACCTTTCTGCACGACGTTTACAATTGTGGTTGGTGTTTCTAAGACTTTCGCGGTTATTTTTTTTTATGTAAAAAGGTTTCCGGGTTTTAAGCCGCGTATCATAGTAATTTGGTTTGACGTTTCGACAGCCATGTTGCTGTCTTCTTCAGAAAACTGTAAAACCCGTAAACCTTTTTACTTTTAACACTTTAACACTGCCGTGTGTATCGCTAGCGATAGACCGGGCGTGAACTGATCCGGCCGGGTGCATCGCTAGCGATACACCACTCATGCAATGGTAATTTAATGGCCCACCTGATAAAAGATTTTATAATTTTAATATTAAATAATTAAATGGGAATGTTTACTGCCTAGTTAATTATAATTTTTTGTATGTATTTTATATACCAATAGTTTTATTTTCTATATTTTCTTTCTTGAATTTTAACCCTTTTTACAACTAAAGGGTCATGTACGTCCCAATATACTGATAATAAAATAAACGGGTTACAGTTTTTGAAATAATTAAATTTTTTTAATATATAATTGAATATTGGAAACAATTTATTGGAATAAAATAATTTTAGGGGCCTATTTTTCAGACCTATTGATGGGACATATGTATATGTCCATTGTTCAAGCCAAACACTAAATGAACAGGAAAAAATAAATATAGTGCTATCAATTTTATATTAAAAAAGAATATTAAAAAAAAAGCTTGTATTGACTGTTGTGTTATATAAGAGAAAGTATTTAAAAAAATAATAACAAACAAAGCAACGTAAATATTGTAAAAACACAACAAATATAAACATTGTTTATTGATCTATGATCTATGATACTAACCAACAAAAAAGATGTATTTATGACTAGTTAACTACTAATTTTAGCATACATTTAAGCTTATAAGCTATATTATTATAAGTAACCAACGTTTGTTATAAATTTATGTTATACCTTAACTAATAAAAGAATGGGGTTAGGACAATATGTCAAAAATCAGTATAAAACTACTTCTATTATATAGATTAGTCACCAAAAACAACCATTCCATTAAAAAAAAACGCTGTTTGCCATTTATGTTTTCTTAAAAATTATAAATTCTCTCTGTCTCGTCACGATGTTATAATATAAATGGTATAATATGTGTATCAAGTTTTACGAATGAGGTATATGCAAAAATAAAAAAATCCAAACATAACAAAATTCTTTGACTTGTTATAAAACAACCTATTTTAGTATAAAGTTATTATTAAAATTATTTTTAAAATTTAATATTTTACCTCTATAATGTACTATTTTTAAAGTTTTAAATAATTGAAACGGAATTAAACATAGAAACCATGATAGAAAAATATGTTGGATTTATTTGTAGTTCTTAACAAATCTGATAACATTGTGACGTCACGATTATTTTTAAAATTCAATATCCGCACCTCTATTATGTACTTTTTTGTGATTTTCAAACGATTTAAATAATTTAAAGGAACTCTCTTCAAGGTCATCAAATCGTTTTAAATCTTGAGGTTCCCAAAACGCTGTGGCGTTTGGGAAACGTAGGAACAAGTTTTTAATGACAAACTCGTTTGCGTAGATTCCAAATATGCCATAAAAACATTGCATGTCCCAACCCTATTGTTGTGATTAAAACTAAACTAAATATATTTGCAATGATAGTATATTTTGTGACATCAAAAAAATAATTGAAAGTAGAGAAATTTTTTATTGGGATGTTAAGGTAATTCTTAAATATTGTTTTTAATCCTGATTTTTAGTGATAGATAGTTATTAAAAATATAATATTAAATTAATTCGTTGTTTCTCTTCGCTCACTCGTCATACTAATGCTCGTTCAACCCTTTTTGCTCATGAGTGTAATAAGCTTAATAGCGCTATCTGAAATTGGCTATTTTTAAAAACCTTATGAAGTCCTAGATATAAAATGTAAACCAATTAAAAAACAATAAAATACTGTTTTTTGAAAATGTTGGATTTTCTTAGATATTTCAGATTTAAAATACCTGCTTTTGGACGAATCGCAATATTTGAAAAGGATGTAACTTCTTAGACCTTTTTAGGGAAGTATACTATGATATCATAGTATACTTCCCTAACTATGATATCATAGTATACTTCCCTAAAAAGGTCTAAGAAGTTACATCCTTTTCAAATATTACTAGTATTACTATAAATACTATATCCAGAAAAATAATAAAGGTAAGTCTTAGTTTAACATTTTTTAACATTCTCTTAGTAAAAATAAGAGTTTTGAATAAGAGTCTTAAAAACTTTGAATAAGACTTAAGTCGGAAAAACACAGAATAGGTATTAGTAATTACTACTTAAGTCAGACTAATATCAAGATTTGGGAGTCTTCTGGAAAAGTTAATAAGACTTAATAGGACTTTTAGCAGAGAATTGGTGGGTACCTATAGCGATCAAAATAAATATCCGGAATTATTCAGAGTTGTTGTATTTGGTTACCAATTGTAAAATAAAACTGGAAGAAAAGTATTTATTAATATTTTGTGTGTTCTTTTGAGCCAAGTTTATTGCATTATTACCTATATAATAACATATGTAAGGTATAATAATTATAACAATTTAATTTTTTACAAACGATGTGCTTGACTTTCTTTTATTAATAATAATAATAATAAACGACTTTATTTAATACAAGCATCCACTAACATCAAAAAGGCGAAGTTCAATCAGAGATTGTTCTTTCACTTAACCATTATTAATATTATTATTTATTGTTGCCACTGTACGTTTTATTTTAATACATAGGTTATTTATATATACGCAAATATTTATCCGACTATTGTTTCAAACAATTGTTCTAAAAACAATATAACATGTATTAGTCCGAGAGGCAGTGAAGATTTTCGGTACTTATTTTCCCAGTCGGCAAACACCGATACAATTATTGGGTTTGTTATTCTGAGCAAAATTTATATATATTTAGGGGGGGTTTCCGAGTACAAATATATTGCACTTTTTTTCCAGTGATAAAAATAATTCCATTAGTGAGAGATATAGTGAACTTAAGAAAAAAAATAGTCCGGCTAATCTGTATGGGTAATATGTCTGGCAGGTGGAAAAATTATCAAAACCATTGCCCTTATTTTCGCAGTCCTAAAAATTTTGTGAGATGATAGTTTATA